CCTTTTGTTTTGGAATAATAATCCTAACTCAATTTTGAATTACTTGTAATTAAATAGTCAAACTTGTCAAACTTGGGGAAAACGAGTGCGGTCTCATACAAATAGAGGGCACCATAAAAGAGTTGACGCATATGAAGTTCCCAAAACCAAGTGAGGTTCTTCACTTGTGAGCCCTTCATCAGCCAACGCTAGGGTTGTAAACGAATCAAACATTTTTTATTCGATTCGTGATTCGAATTCGATATTCGTGATTCGAATTCGAAATATTCGAATTCGAATTCGAATTCGAATGATATTTTAGATTCGAAATTATAACGAATTCGAATTCGAATGAGTAGATATTCGATTCGAAATTCGAATATTCGATTCGTTAACAATAATTATATAAATTTTACAAATTATACATAATATACATTTTGTTTATAATATATGTATATATATTGTTATATTCCTTTTATGACATAAAAAGTAAAAACATCATAAATTAACAAATTTTTCTAAAAATATATGAAAAATAAAATTTATTTTTGTAATTATAATATTTTTATACAAATTATATATAATATACATTTTGTTTATAATATATGTATATATATATATATATATTGTTATATTCCTAATATTTTTATGACATAAAAAGTAAAAACATCATAAATTGACAAAATTTTCTAAAAATATATGAAGAATAAAATTTATTTTCGTAATTATAATATTTTTTAATTATAATATTTTTTTGAAAACGAATTTCGAATCGAATCGAATATGTTCGAATATTCTAAACGAATCGAATACGAATCAAAAAATGAATTCGTTATCGAATCGAATCACGAATCGAATATTCGAATATTCTAAACGAATCAAATCGAATCTCTGGGTATTCGCTTTGATTCGATTCGTTTACAACCCTAGCCAATGCCTCCAACTAAGCTCGGTACATTTTTCAGCCCACGCCTACAACCAAGTCGGGTACCTTTTTTTATTTTTAATCATCGCAGGTTTTAATCATCGCATGTCCTAAATTAGCTCAACTCTAATACCATGACAAATATGTGAAAACTCATTCATTCACTCAAAAGACTCCCTCTTGGTATCATAGTTAGGTTTAGGGCTGAGCACGGGTCGGTTCGGTTCGGAGATCCAGAAATCTCCGGAACCGAACCGAACTTCGGAGATTTGAAAAACTGGATCTCCGGAACCGAACCGGTCCTAACAAA